AGTAATAGATTAAATTGTATTAATCAAGATTTAAACCAACATTGTTATAGCTGCTGAGAATGGTCACTGTGCTTAACTTGTACTTATACACAGAAATGTCACAAACTGTACATCTTACATTGCATAAGCTTTTAACCCCAGTATTACATTTGTTTATGTGTGTGGCTCTGTCTACTGACTTCATGTACACAATGAAATAGGCTCTAGCTGGTCAATATTTTAGCTGGTGCAAGATTCCTTTTGGGGATTGCTGCATGACGGAGTGAGCTCCCGTCTCTGCTCCCAGCTCCTGCCAACCTTGCGGTTCGAAAGCAAGAAATTGCAAGTAGATAAATAGGTACCACTTCGGTGGGAAGGTAACAGCGTTCCGTGCGCCTCGGCGTTTAGTCATACCGGCCACATGACCACGGAAATGTCTTTGGAAAGCGCTGGCTCTTCGGCTTGGAAACGGAGATGAGCACGGCATCCCTAGAGTTGGATTCGACTGGCTTTTGAGCAAGGGAAACCTTTACCTTTACACAATAGACTAGACCTGGATAGCCCAGTCTCATCAGATCTCAGAAGCTACACAGGATCAGCCCTGGGTAGTACTTGGATGGGAGACCATCCAAGGAAGTCCAGGATCACTATACAAAGTCAGGCAATGGCAAGCCACCTTTGAACATATCTTGCCTGCCATATGTCAGCTGTGACAGCCAAAACAAACAAAAAGAGGAGACTAACATGGCTACTCCTCTAGAATTTCTCTACGGAATCAATTGTGCCAAGATTTCACCACTTTGTCAGAATTTTCAAATATAAGAGCTGCACCCACAACCACTTCCCCGTCCTTCCAGGAAAAAGAAATTCCACTTCTGACCCTTCCCTTTGCAAACTTTTGGCAACTTAACAAGTTTGTATTTTTAACATAAGTCATCAGAACAGTGGGGAAAGACATCAATGAAATTAAAATGTCTGTAGAAGACTGCATCCATTAAAAAAAAAAAACCTTGTAACTGCAGAAATTTGAAAACAATTATTTCCTTCCAGAATTATTTCCGTACCTTTCCTGCCCCTTCTGCTTCTCATCAGGAAAAGCTTCTGTTGCATCCCCAGGTCAGTGAGTGAACTGGAGATAGAAGGAGTCAATTGCAAATACATCTAATTTGCATTTAGCATTGAAATGTATGGGAGGGAAGTGAGCAAATTAATTTGATACTGCCGTTTGGTAGTTGGGCTAAACTCAAAAACAAAGCATGAATGTCTAGTGTTCCTTTTTGGAGCTCTTGGGATGAATAGTTAGAAAACTGAGATAAATACATATATTCAAGTGTGATGTGGAAGTGACTTGTGGCACAAAGCCAATGTCATGAGAGTATCAAGACTGCTTTCTTAGGAGCCAGGATTCCTCAGTGTTTAAAGGTGTTTGTAATGCTGGTTTCCCCATTCTCCCCGAATGACAATACTGTTGGAAACAACAAGCATGTGCAAATCTGTGCATGTTTACACAGGATAAGAGTCTCTCTATGTTTACTGGGGCTTAATACCAAGTAAGCAAACACAGGATTGTGCCTAAAAAGAGGCCTCTGGTATACTTCATTGTTCTTTTAGGTTGGCCGCATAAACTTTCTAGCATCATCTAAGCCTAATGCAGGGCGGCATCCTTGTTGTCCTTTTATTGGTCCATATCGTTTATCACCCTTATAAAAGTTGGAATGGCTATTCTTTCCTGTTTTTCTTTGCATTGTAAAAGCTGTAGAGCTAATTAAGACACTGACCACACTAACATAAAAAAGCAGCTATTTAAACTTTATCACCAGGAACAGTCAGATTGAACTGATAGTATAAGTGAAGCATCCATATGATTATTTACAAGGGCAGGGCTTATGCTGCTATCAAGACTTCTAAAAATGTAATTCTGGATCTGTGTGTGTGTGTGTGGGGGGGAGTACAAGAAATCAAAACATGCTGACAGCCTGTTCTTGTTACTCACCTTTCTCTCCCCCTCACCCTCCCACCCCTATCATCAGGGCTAACTTCTTGAGGTGTTTCTGTAACCCTAGTCCTAGGACATTGCTTATTAGGTGGTTCATCATGTTGATTTATTGATTGCATTGATCTACATAGTGTAATCTATTTTGAGTCTCAGTGAAAAAGGCAGGCTATAAATACAGTAAATAAATAAATAACTAAACAGTGCCACACAATGGAAACGTGGACTCAGTCCGAATAAGAGTGCTCTTTGGGCTTTTTTCTGCCTCGTCAAAAAAGGAAGAAAGCATTATAGGAAGCCGTTAAAGCTTCCTCTGCCTTTGTTTCCCATGGACATGTCAGACTCCCTGGTCCTAAGAAAGCAGTAGTGACACTCTAGCCAGTGGTTTTTACTTCCAGATAAGTATGCATAGGATTGCAACCTTAATACCAATTTAAAAAAAAATTACCCAGGACAATTTACAATCATACAATAAAACAGTCCTCCTGTCAACATAAACAGAAGAGAGTAGCACCAATATTACTGTCAGCACAGGACCTAGGTGTATGTGGATACTGCCAGGTTAGACGCAGCAGTGACAAGTCACCTCTCGATGGGAAACACTGCCTTGAGAGAAGACATTTTGAGATAGGCCCAGTGAGATTCATCTCTGTTGCTTGATGAGTACAGCATCTAGCGATGATGTGCCACTGTGAAAACATCATCAGAGCTTTGTTTTCATATTGCCAGACATCATTTCAGCACAATTGTATTTCAATTCACACTCAGAAATTGAGATATTGTTGTTTCAGGATTTGTCCAGAAGTAAGTTACATAACCACAGTATGTAAAGCTGTATGTGATTTCATGGGGAAGAAGTACCACAAGAAATAAGAATTAGTCAGGGTGTGTATGTTGTGCTTATGCACATTTGTCCATCCTTTAGACCTGACAGTCATTTGGACTTGGCAGGCATCAGCTGGCCCAGTGTAGCAGTGAAAATGTCAGACTAGGAACTGGGAGACGCGGTTTTGAATCCCCATTCTGCCATGGAACTTTGCTAGGCCGCACTCTCTCAGCCAAACCTTCTTCATGGGATTGTTGTCCTGAGAAGAGAATGATGGTGCAAGCTGTGTTGGGTCCCCATTGGGAAGAAAAAGTGTGTAATAACTATCTAAACAGATAAGTTGTGCAGCTTGAATTGAAAGCCATTCATAATGTATGTTCACATATTGAGAAGCCGCCCACCAGTAAAAGAAATGTACTATCCATCCGTATTTTTTTTTGCTGTGAATTAGCTTTCCTAAGAACTATCCCTGACGTGAGTAGCCCAGGCCACTTCAGTCTTGTCAGCTCTTGGCTGCTAAGCAGGGTCAGCCCCGGACAGTATTTGGATGGGAGACCTCCAAGGAATACCAGGGTATGCAAAGGTAGGCTGTAGCAAAACCAACTCTGAACAGCTCCTGTCTTGAAAAACTCTACAGGGTCACCATGAGTTGGCTGTGACTTGACAGGAGAAAATAAATGATCTCTATGAGGATAGTTTCAGGTGGGGTGGCCCTGTTGGTTTGAAGTAGCAGAACAAAGTTTGAGTCCAGTGGCACCTTTAAGACCAACAAACTTTTATTCACAGTACAAGGGTATTTGAAGAAATGTGCTTGCACACAAAAGCTTAGCCTTATACCATGAATAAAACCTTGTTGGTCATAAAGGTGCCACTGGACTCAAACTTTGATCTATGACGATAGTTTATTTTGCTTTACTGTCAAATCACAGGCAGCAACTTGGCCACTTTCCTAGACTAAATTAATCCAAATGCCCTCTGCAGACTGCAGTACTCTGCTGCAGTGTTGCTGCTAGAAAAATGAACCTCCCTATTAAATATTTTCCATATAAAAGAACATTCTTCCAAAATTCATCAGAACAAAGTGACCCACATTGGGCTGGACAAAAAGGCGTTTGATAGCCTTCTACTGGAGCAAAATTAATTAGGATATTTAAAACTTTTAACCCAAACGGATCCTACACTGATACAAAACAGGCTGACTTTAACGGAGCATGTCCGCGCATCTTCGCCAAAGGCCTGCTAAGTGAAAGGGCTGCATTCCGCGACCGCGCGTGGTTTGCGCTGCCCAGAGGTGCTAAAGACCTCGCGTTCAAACTAAGAAAGCCTCCGCCTGGAAGCTGCAGTGTTTGTGACGTTGACCTGGCCGAAACTTGCCGAGAGAGGCGATGCTCGTTCTGCAAACGGCCTGTCTTGCACGGCCACCACTCACTCCGTCCAAATGTCCCCTGATGCGGCGCGTGTGCGTGCAAGCAGAGAGTCCGCTTTCTACCCGTGTGCCAGGGCAGGCCAGAGGAAAGCGGCTGGCGGAGGGCTCACCGCGCCTTGAGCGAAAGGCACCCGCCGCGGTCCCTCGTCTGCCTCCTCCCCCGCCGCCAGCAGCAGCGCCTGTGGTGCGGAGTCTTCGGCACTGGCGCTCATGCGCACTGCCGGCGATGCTCCTGCGCTACCCCGCTCCTCCTCTTACTGCTGCTGCGAGCGAGGCCGCTTCTGCCAGTTTTTCTCCTGCGTGAAGGACTCCCTCGCTGCCTGCCTGCCCGCCCCCCCTTCCCTTCCCCTTGTGCCCCGCGCTTCGAAAGCCTCCTTTCCCTCCCTACTTTGCTTGCAACGCGCTGCCTTCCCTTGTTTCCCTGTTCGCCGTTTGACGGGCGCCGAGAAACGGAGGGGCACCCTGGGCTCGGCGCTGCCGGGACCGGCTCCGTTTGGACCCACGCACAGACTGAGGCTGCAGCCTTGAGCAGCGTGGGGATCCGCAGCCTGGCTCTGTAGTACCAGCGGCCGCCGCCGGGGGCGCGGCGCCACAAGACCGAGGAAGACTCCGCGCCCCCGCCGCAACATTTCTTCCGCAGCTGGCTGCAACCCCGGTAAGTTGAGAAGGCGTTTTTGTTGTTTTCGCTTTGGAGAGGTGCCGGAGCGCGGTGCTCGGTGGAAGGCCGGACCCCCTTTAACCGCGGTGTGTGAAGGGGGAATGGGTCGGGTGTCAGAGCGAGGCGCTTCGCAGGGGTCCAGGGGCGCTGCTCTACTGCTAGAGAAGTCCCAGGTAATGCTAATGCAGGGAATCGTAGGGACAGAGTCTTTGGGAGTTTTGACTTTCGTCTTGGAAAGGGACTCAGGATTGAGCCCTAACTTCATAAATCCTTGCAGTTTGGGGTTAAAATGAAGGGCTCTTACTTGGAAGGGCAAAAGGAAGGGGAAGAGTTGGCTGTCCGGAGTTCCTGGTGGCATTACTTCTTAGGAAAAGGTCAATCTCTAACAGGTGAACCACTGTTATTTGTTCCACTGAAGTGGTGTGGTGTGTGTGAGAGCATAAATAGCTTGGTGAATATGGCTGTTGAGAAACCAAGAGCCACGCGGTACTTTACTTCTGAGTTGTCTCAATGGGATCCCATTGTGTTCTATGAGTCTGTTTCCAAAACCAGTGACTTGAGCATTCCAACTTTGCTGTGATCCAAAGGACATCTGCCGCTTTATCCAAGGCATGCTTGCTTGGAAGTATCTCTCTCTCTCCCTGTGTCCCTTGGTGATTGGTCCCTATTAAGTATGTCTAGCTTTGCCGCATTAACTGCAACAGCATTTAGATCTTTAAATTTGTGTTCTTGGTAACCCGCATGCTCAGCTAGAAGTGGCTTTCACTAAAATAACTGAGATTACTTCAGTGTCGATGTGCTTAGGTTTGTGGTGCGCTCTCACTGACAACATCTTGTAATTTAAATGATGGCAGATTGCAAGACTGTGCCCTGTGTAGTGGATCCTGCGTAGCTATGAAACTCACTGGGTGGTCTGGAGAAAACCCTTTCTCTCAACCTAGCTTGAAATAAGGGACAGGATAAATTAGATAGGGATTGTAAAAACTTGTGCACCCACGAACAGCTGTTTTATAATACTGAATAATAATGTTGCTTTGCATTGAGGAGGGGGGAGGGGGGACATAGCAGGGTTAAGAAAGGGTTATAATATCTGCAGGTATTTCCTGAGGTTGCTATCCATGAAGCAATTGAATCTCATGTTATTTGTTTAAATGCCGTTGAGTTTTATAATCTCCCCCCCCCCCCTTCAAAACCAGGGATTTGGAGATTGTGTGTTTACTTGGAAGTAAATACTACGGAGGTCAGATAGCAGGGTTTAGGACTGAGAGGTAAACTGACAACAGTTTGTGCCTTTAATTGTCTTTGGTAAAGTGCTTTTGTGTTAGCTAGTCCACTGATTTCAGTTAAAGTACTCCTGGATGGGTGGGTCGTAGCTGGCTGTCCTGGGCACTGTAGTATCTTTTAAATTGGAAGGTTTCTATGGGGTGGGGGAATGGAAGATTTTTACAGTCGCATAGAGGGGAAACTCCATCAGATGTTGTAGTAGATGTGAAAGGGAAAGGTGAAAGGACACTGCATACATGCAGTATGTGATATTTTCTATAGTACTAAAAATGGAAGGATTATTCTGCACCAGATTATCTAATCTCAAATCATGTGGCACCTAATGGATTGCTGCCAGATCTGTATAACTGATGGCAAATTATGTGTGATCCTGGTTTGTTTTCTGCTTGGAAGTAAGTCCTACTTGATTTCATTTTCAAGTAAATCTGCTCAAGATTTTTGTACCCATCATCACTAGTTGTAGCTAGCAGGTCTACAACGGAAGACAGGAGGGCCTGGTGTGATGTGCTCCATGGGGTTGAGAGGAGTCGGACTCGACTGTGTGGCTGAACAACAACGACTGAACAACAACAACAACAGCAGGTCTACAAAAGGAAGCTGACTATATTTTCCAGTTTTGGTTCATGATTTGATGTCCATAGGGCTGAGGTACCTTGTGTAGCTAGCTGATCTGGGATTTCTCTTTCAAGCCATGGTGAACATAAGAACATAAGAGATGCCAATGTTGGATCAGGCCAAAGGCCCATCCAGTCCAACACAGTGTATCACACAGTGGCCAGAAATATCAGGTGCCATCAGAAGGTCCACCAGTGGGGCCAGGACATTAGAAGCCCTCCCACTGTTGACCCCCCCCCCCCAAGCACCAAGATGACAGAGCATCACTTGCCCCAGAGTCCCTATCTATAACTTGTGGCTATATTTATGGTGCCAATAGAGCACCACAAAAATAAACAGGAGTCTTAAAGACTAGCCTGTTTATCTTCTAGCATAAATTTCTGCAGACTGGAGCCTACATTGTCAAAAGCATGTAGTGGATCCTAGCTAGATACAACCGCATGTGTCCATAATTGCCAACAGTAGTAATCATTTTCACCAAAAGTTATGGTTATGATTTAAGAGTCATCACTGAGGTAATAGGGTAGCAAATGAAGGAGAATATCCTAATTAAAGCCTATTATCAGTCTTGGGTACTGTTTTGTTTTTAACATTGACACAGAAAGGAAATAGGATGATGCCCTGAATTAGTGTGCTAGTTATGTTCCTGCCACACTTAAACTGTAAGATGTGCTACAGACAGCTGCTGCCAATATTGGTAACCCTTGACAATAAATTAGCTACTGAACTACTTGTGTAGTGAAAAAGAGAACATACTCACAGTCAATCACAGTGTAAGGATGTGCTGTTGATTCTAACTGATGTCTGAAAAATCTAATATTCTTTGCCAGGGCCAGAAAAATAAAATTATTATTTGTTGTATGTAAAGCAGTGGAAACAATGGCTTTGTTTTTCTTAACCGTGGTTGAGTTTTATGCCTAGGGTTTGCTTTCTTAACCATGGTTGAGTCTTTCATTGAAATATCTAAATCACGCTTAAGGGCTGAGTATAAGTAAAGATGTGGACTCTATGGTTTGTAGTGGGTTTGCTAACCATGATTTGCAAAAGCTATAGTTAAGTATAACATGCACTGAGCAAACCATAGTTAGGGTTTTCTGTCTCTGCAGGTTGTATGTGCAAAGTGACAAGCGCATATCAAGGTAGTCTGCCTTTATATTCTTATTTTCATTTACAGTTTGTCTTTCTTACTGGGACCCAAGGAAGATATACAAGTGTGATAAAAAGCTTTTTAGGCCATTAATAAGCAGATTACAAGATTTGATGACATTTGAATCTAACAGCAATGGTTCTTAGACAAAAAATGCAATTGGGCTTGGATTGAACAAGTCTCAAACAACAAACCTGGTTAGCTATAACTGTGGTTTATGCTTGCACTAAGCTTGTGTGTTGAAAATGTTTAAGATATTTTTTGGCATACATTGAACATCTGTACCCAAGTATCCAAAGTAGCCTCTTCAAGAGGAGAGGAGATGACTGAGAGATGATATGATAACCATCTTCAAGAACTTGAAGGGCTGTCATATAGAGGATGGTGCGTAGTTTTCTGTTGCCCCAGAAGATCGGACCAGAACCAACTGGTTGAAATTAAATCAAAAGAGTTTTTGGCTAAACATTAGAAAGAACTTCCTGACAGAGCAGTTCCTCAGTGGAATAGGCTTCCTTGGGAGGTGGTGGGCTCTCCTTCTTTGGAGATTTTCAAACAGAGGCTACATGGCCATCTGACAGCAATGCTGATTCTGTGAACTTAGGCAGATCATGAGAGGGAGGACAGGAAGGGTTGCCTCAGTACTTAGTTCTTGTGGCCCATGCCCAGGGAAATACTGATCACCGCTTTGGGGTCAGGAAGCAATTGTACTCCAGGCCAGTTTGGCTGGGGAGCCTGGAGGTCTTTTGTCATCTTCTGGGCACAGAACTGGGCTCATTGGGGTGTGCATGTGTGTGTGGGAGATATTTGTGAATTCCCCGCATTGTGCAGGGGGTTGAACTAGATGTCCCTGGAGATCCCCCTTCTAACTCTGTGATTCTGTGAGTGTTCTACTCATGCATGGAGCCATCTAATGTTTTCCAGGCCCCCAGAATAGCAGGATAAAGGTCAAGGGACTTCTTAGAGTGGCACCCTATGAGGCTCAAAGGGCTGCTGATAGAAGGAAATATGGTCACTCCCTGCATGCGTGGCTTTGTGTGTGAGAAGGGAGGTGGGGTTCTTTCCTTTTATAAATACTTCCCTCACTATTTCAGGGGGGAACTGCCTAACAAGTCATGCAACAGAAAAAGCGTATGCTTTCAAACTGCACAAAACTAATAGACCTAATTATCTACATACACCACCAGTGATTTATAAGTGGTTGCACTGTAGCACTTTGAATACTAGAGCTCTTTAACCTTTTGTTCTGATCTGTCACCTAGAGATTTGGCTTTAAGCAGGGTAATATATCTTCACTGGTGCTGAATACTTGAGCTGATTAACTTTGTAAAAGGAGCAGGCATTCAGATAACACAAGCAACCAATCAACTAGTGTAGGAAAACACAAGAGGCGTTTCTGACAGCTCAGTTTCAAAATGTACTTTTGTGGGGAATGCTATGATGTATTTAGAGGTGTTCCAATCAAAGTCAGTACTAAATGTTTTTAAATTATTCTTTTAGCTTAACTACTTGGAATGATATGAAAGTAACTACTGTTCCACTGTTGCAGTTCAGTAATAAAGAAATGCTTCGTAGTACTTAATGCTGTGCAGTATTGGGATGGTGCCAATGAAAAGTGCCCTCTGGATAAGAGGACCAATTCAAACATGCTGCTTCAGTCTTCGCATGAGTCTGTACCCCTTGGGAGGCACGTGGTGGAGGTATGCATCTGCCCTTGCCCATTTGTGTCGGCTCCTGGACTCTAGTCATCTCACGCACTATACTTTAAAGAAAGAAATATCAACTCAGCAGTTCTTTGTCAGTGTTAAGAGCAATTCTGTTCTCTTGTTCCATTCCTACAGTACTTATTTATCAAATTCTCTTCCAGTCATGTTGGTTTTGAGAATTGCTTTTCAAAGAGCAGCAATAACATCATCTTCTGAAGGTGCTTTTGTTTGGATGTTTCTTCTGAGGAGCTAGGATTTAAGCTTGCTGTACACCAAGTACCTTTTGGGAAAGGCTAAGTGGCCTTTCCCTTACACTATGGCACTTTACAAACTGCCTTTGTTTTCTGTTTTAGTAACTGGTCGCTAATGTTTCCCCCCCCCCCGCCATTTCAGAGAGACCCATTTTAGTAACCGACTGCTAGCA